CTCTACAGATGCACGCTGCAATCTAGGGCAGCGGCAGGGCCGCAACGAAGCGGCTATGTATATGTTGATGTGCATGTCTATGCTTATAAACTGTGTCCCTCCTCATACATGTTTACAAACCTGGGTGTGGGGAACACCGTCCCCCCCGAACCACAACCCAGCCAAACCCGTCATCTTTCTCTCTCTGTGTACGCATGTGAATACCTAAGGTGTTTGTACATCGGTGTATATATGTATGCATTCAGTTATGTTTATATGTAGATGTACACACGTATATGTATACGTACACGTACATGTATACGCAGTGGACGATGTATACGTATATATATATGTATACGATTACGTAACTGCATATAAACATGTATATGTATGTGTCTATGCATACATGCATACCTGTCTATGCTTGTCTATGGCTATATATATGTATACATGATCACATATATTTGTGTAACGGCTTATTGATATATATATATACATATATATATGTATGCATATGTACTGTATGTGTGTGTCTCTGTTTACGCGTATGTATGTGTACATGTGCATGTACATGTATATGCACATGAATATGCATGAATGCACGTATGTATTTATGTATGTAAGTATGTATGTATGTTTGTGTGGACGTTTATACATTTGTGCATGTAGTCAAACCTCTTCGTCTTGTAGTTTAGGCAGCACACGTATATACACACGTGTCCACATGCGCATACATTTACATATACATATCTAGATACGTATACATATCTCTCCCTCTATGTTTACAAGCCTGGGGGGCGGGACCCCCCCCAAAACCAAACACACTGTCTCCTCGGGATCCGGGGCTTTGGGGCCCCCCTGGACGCCCTTGGAAGAGGCCCCCAAGCCCTGCCGCGCCTCACAGGACGCCTTGCCAGGCCTTGCACAGCATACCCAAAGCGATCAGAGAAGTGGTCGAAGAGGCGCAGGAGAGCCCGAAGACAGCGCAAGACGGCCTCAAGACGGCCCAAGAGACCCCCACGACGGCCGAAGAGGCCTCCAGGACGCCTCAACAGGCCTTCAGGAGGGCCTTCAAGAGACAAACATCCTCCCATTCCCTAGGGAAACGTACATTTTCAGCATATTCGCTTTTTGCGTCGTAGCAGCGTTCACGCCGGCCCAAGAGGCCTCCGAGATCGCCCCAAGACGGCCCAAGAGGCCCCCAAGAGGCCCCGAAGAGGGCTTCAAGGCAGCCCATGAGGCCCCAAGACTGCCCTAAGACTGCCGAAGAGAAGCTCGCGAGGCCCTCAACGGCATGTGAGGTCCCCAGGAGGAACCACGATGGCCCCGAGAAGTCCCACAGAGGGCCTCAATTCCGAGGAGGAGGAAGACGAAGAAGAGAAGGAGGAGCAGGAGCAGGAGCAGGAGGCGGAGCAGGAGGAGGAGGAGGAGGAGGAGGCGAAGGAGGAGAAGGAGCAGGAGGAGCAGGAGGAGAAGGAGGAGCAGGATGAGGATGAGGATGAGGAGGAGGAGGCGGAGGAGGAGGAGGAGGAGGAGGAGGGGAGGAGAAGGATGAGCAGGAGGAGGAGAAGGAGGAGGAGGAGCAGGAGGAGGAGGAGGAGGAGAAGGAAGAGTAGGAGATGAGAAAAAGGAGGAGGAGGAGGAGGAGGAGGAGGAGGAGGAGGAGGATGAGGAGGAGGAGAGGAGAGGGAGTTGAGAGGGAGGAGGAGAGGAGGGAGGGGGAAGGAGAGGGAGAGGAGAGGGAGGAGGAGGGAGGAGAGGGGAGGAGGGGGAGGGAGGAGGGAGGAGGGAAGAGGAGGAGGGAGGAGGGAGGAGGAGGAGGAGAGGGGAGGGAGGGAGGGAGGGAGGGAGGGAGGGAGGGAGGAGGAGGAAAGGGGAGGGAGGAGGGAGGGATGAAGAGAGGAGGTGGAGGAGTGAGAAGAGGAGGAGGAGGCGGAGCGGAGGAGGAGGAGGAGGAGGAGAGGAAGAGAAGGAGGAGGAGTAGGAGGAGGAGCAGGGATGAGGAGGAGAAGGAGTAGGAGGGAGGAGGAGGAGGAGGACGAGGAGGAGAAGGAACAGAAGGGAGGAGGCAGGAGGGAGGAGGAGGAGGAGGAGGGAGGAGGAGAATGCTGCTGCTGCTGATGATGATGGTGATGATGATGATGATGATGCTGATGATGATGATGATGATGATGATTATGATGATGATGAGGAGGAGGAGGAAAATAACGACGAGGATGATGTGGAGCAGGCGGGGGAGGAGGAGGAGGAGGAGGAGGAGGAGGAATAGGAGGAGGAGGAGGTGGAGGCGGAGGAGGAAGATAAGGATGATGACGATGCTGATGATGATTATACTGATGCTGATGATGATGATAACGATGTTGATGATGTTGATGATGATACTGATGTTGACGATGATGCTGTTGATGCTGATGATGCTGATGCTGCTGCTGATGATGATGATGGTGATGCTGATGATGACGATGGTGATGATGATGATGATGATGATGCTGATGATGATGATGTTGATGACGATGCTGATGATGATGATGATGATGATGATGATGAAGATGATGATGATGATGATGATTATGATGCGGATGCTGGACATGCTGATGATGATGACGATGAATGATGATGATGATGCATGGTGATGAAGATTGCTGATGCTGATGATGACGAATGTGATGATGATGATGATGATATTGATGATATGATGATGATGATGATGATGCTGATGATGATTATGCTGATGGCTGAGGATGCTGCTGATATGAGGATGATGCTGAGCTGATGCGCTGATGATGATGATGATGATGTTTGATGATAATGATGATGAAGAGGACGCGGAGGACGAACGATGACGAGGATGATGATGATGCTATGATGATGATGATGGTGCTGCGGGTGATGCTGCTGCAGATGATGATGATGATGATGATGATGATGATGATGATGATGATGATGATGATGATGATGATGATGATGATGATGCTGATGATGATGATGATGATGATGGATGATGAATGATGAATGATGAATGATGATGATGATGATGATGATGATG